CTGCGGAGTTACAACGCTAGAAATCTGATATTGATACCCATGGTGGGCAGAGCACAGATAGCCCATTGTGTAGCTTTGTGCTTAATTACAAACAAACAAGCATAATAATAGCCACCAATGGTACAGCGGTACGTCTGCGGACTTACAACGCTAGAAATCTGGTTTTGATACCCATGGTGGGCAGAGCACAGATAGCCCATTGTGTAGCTTTGTGCTTAATTACAAGCAATCAACCATGTAGAATGAAATATTGTTATTATGGAGCAACATTCAAAATAATACCGACAGTAATAAAATATGTCCTAATACAACTAAAAACAAAGAAAAGTATGAGGAACACCATTGTTATAACCACTAACCTAAGAAGAAGTTTGGTACCAATGTGGGAAGGAAGAAAGGTGTCGTCGCATGTCATCAAAGAGCCATTTTCTCGTATGCAAAACTGTGATTCGTGGATGAAAAAAACAGACTGGGTAACAAACTGGGGGATAAGTGGCCGGGGAAATGAACTACTTGCTTCCTAAAAGACGAGCCAAAGTTATCTACATATTAATAGAAAGGATAAACTTTAGTGAAAGAGAATAAACTATAAGCACAACAGAAAAAATATTCATATTTTAACATCACACACTAAAATTATTAATAAGTTTATGCTAATTATAAATGTAAAGAAACACTGACGTTCACCTCCATTATTATATATTTAAATATTCATAGTTTATTTTAACGCAAATCTACATAATTGGTTACCTACGCTCTTTCCAATATGGGGAATTGAACCCCAAATTTTAGCGTTATAAGTTCATAAGCTTACCCATTGAGGGGGCAATATTTATAGTAAACACGTGAGAAAAGATGGCTGCAAGAAAAACAACGTCTCTGTAAATGAACTGGGTTCCTACACAGTTCCTATTCATTTATCTAAACGATACAAAAATTGGACAAACAAAAGTTTATTATTTTCTTTTGTATTGTTTTAGAGCACAGTCACACTAGGCTATCTCTGTTGTGTTGTAAGCCTTTAAACTTACCATTGTCCCACGAAAGGACAAAAAAAAGCCATTGGTGTTTTCTATTTAATAAAATATTGTTGTAATAGTTTCCAGTTTGACGAGTTCTTATGAATTATTGGGTAAAAAGAATCATGGAGAGTCTAGTCCGCCGTTTCATATAACTTCAAACTACATGCAAGAAGAATTAAACACGGAAACATTACTTAAAGAGATTATATTCACCTCTTATATCACATTCACATTACTATATCGTGTTTCGTCTTACTACGCTCCTATTGGTTTCTTGATTTTTGCCCATATTTTTAAACCCCTTTTTAACTTGTATTGCTTACATATTTTGATATGTTGTTGTTTGAAAAACCAATTCGAACACTCAAAACCGTGGATTCAGTATTATGGTAAATCACAAGGAAATTCGGGTGTTTTTTTTTGTTTTACTTCTTTCGGTAGGAGATTATTTTAGTTCAGAAATAATGCTTTAAAAGTTAAAATATTTAAATACAATCAGAATCCACACGAAATTTTCTTGAAGTTAGATTGGTCAAACATGCTAACATTACTTTATAATCCAAGAGGATAGCCAAATATAAAATCAGTGTCCGCCATTTTGTGTCTGTTCACCCTATTGACCTGAAACGGGTATATATTTCTTTCTATAGATTTCAAAGTGATACTGGTTTGAGTAATAACTCTGGTGTTTACTTTTAGTTACTCGTCTTTCATTCCTTTCACGGTTGGCGTAATCAAGGTTCACGATAGGCCTATTTTCACAAATAAACAGCATTTAACAGATGTTCCATTCACTTTCTTATCTGTATTTCGTCGTTCCGAAACACATACTCAATATTCAAAGCACTGAACTAACTAACTGATTGACCTTTTATTGATATCATGGATGGTGACATATATATAATCACCTAACTCATTATTAATTAGTTACTAAATATTTATTACTCACTAGTATATATATATATTCTACGTTACGACTGCTAATATGCTGTTGGTGTAAGGGAAATCCTTGGAAAGATGTTTCTGTGGTGGTAGCCGAGATCCGATCTTGGGTCTCCCCCATACTGATTTATTTATTTTTATCACAAATTGAAGAATCAACTAACTTATTTCAATGTTTTAACGGGAAATATCCTAATTGTTGCTGATAAATTAGTATTACACAGTCTTGTACGTCTATTTTGTTCCCGCATTCTATTTCTTAAGCAAGTTCGATGTTTCATTCCCGTTTCATTCTAGAAACCAAGTCGTTTATGATGCACATAAGGTGGTTCATGAATTCTAAAATGTTACATGTAGTGTGTGGCCATATTACTAAACTATCATCAACCGCTCTGAACTCAATCAAGGGACTTAGAATGTCCGTTTTGAGGGAATTTATTCGAAATGTT